GTTGAAGGTGGATGACCATGGTCTTCTGTCTTCGAAGGTTTCAGTTGAAAAGTCTGCTGTCGGCTCAGCGCCTGTGGCTCAACCGGCTAGGGCACCAGCCACGTACACTTAGGGTGGCGGGTTCGAATCCCCAGCCCGGACCTGCCAAAACAACAATGACGGCTGCAACCAAAAAAGATGGCCGGGCGTTGTGGTGGGCGCCTGTGGTTCCAGCTACTTGGGAGGCGGAGGCAGGAGACTCGCTTGGGCCCAGGAGTTGGAGGTTGCTGTGAGCTGTAATGCCACGGCACTCTACCCAGGGGGATAGCTTGAGGCTCTGTCTCAAAAAAAAAAAAAAGAAAAGAAAAGAAAAGTCTGCTGTCATCTAATGGCACTGCCTCTGTAGGTCAGTTGGCGCTTACTCTTGGCTGCTTGCCGAATTTTTTCTTTCATCTTGACTTTGGACAGGTTCATTACAGTGTGTCTTGGAGAGGCTCTGAGTTGAGATGACCCTGGAGTTTGATATCCATCTGAAAGGAGTATGTGGAAGTCTTTAGTAAAACTTTGTAAATTTTCCTTTATGATGGTCTCCAGTAGGGCTTCCATTCCTTTGGGACAATCTTCTTCCCCTTGGGGAATTCCCTATTATTCATATAATTTGAACACTTAATGGAGTCTCATAGTTCTCTAAGTGCCTGTTGTGCTTTCTCTTTCTGCTTTTCTGCCTCTTAAACTACCTGCGTTAACTCAAAAACTTTATCCTCTAGCTCTGAGGTTCCTTCTTCTCCATGGTCTGAGCTATTTTTGATGCTTTCTACTTGCATCTTTATATTCCCTGATTGTCTCCTTCATTTCCTTAAGCTCTGTCATATCTTTTCTGTATCCTACATATCTCTCATTTGACTTTTGCTTCTGTCTTTCCATTTTCTCATCCATTCCTTTTACTGTCTTTATCTTCCACATTTTAAATTTCCTTTCTGTTACATCCATCAATTCTTTATAGGTGGAATCTTCTGCAGTAGCTGCCTCATGGTCCTTTGGGTGAGTTCCTCTGTTCTGGTTTTTCATGTTCCCTGAATTTTTCTGTTGGTTCCTCCTCATGTGTTCTTTCTTCTTGTTCACCTCCTTGTCCACTTTTTTATTAAAATAGATGTCCTTGCTTTTGATGACGGTATGTTGTAGTGTGTCACCTGGACTCCAGGTGGTGCAGTGGGGTTTTTTTAGGAGATAGCACAGCCAGCAATCTCTATGGTCCTTATTCCAAACTTAGTTGCTTTTGGTGATCACCTGATTGTTTCCTCAGCATTTGGACCCTGCTGGGTTGGGATCTTAAAGCTCATAAGAATCCTTCTTTGTTTGGTCTCACAGTACCCCCGATTCCAGTCCTGTGGGGTGCTAGAGTCTCTCGGCATGTCCCAAGAGTGGAGTTCTGGGCTCGGCGCCTATAGCTCAACCGGCTAAGGCGCCAGCCACGGACACCTAAGGTGGCGGGTTCGAATCCCCAGCCTGGTCCTGTGCATTGAAGAACGCTTAGCTGTACCT